TGTGCATCTCATTACAAGTTACATTAATTGTCTTGATAATTAAATGGCAATTGTGTACTGCAAAATTAACTTTTACTCATCCAACACAGTTTTACAATCGCAAAAAAACAAAAAACACAGAGCGGGTGCATTGTTTAAAAAGCTTGTCAGGCCCAATTGTTCTTCTGTATATTGTTTTGGCACATTTTTAAATAGCTTTACAAAACCTCTCTACTGTTTTGCATTTGTATTGCATTAATTCCTGAAAGTTTCCTTAGCCATTACGGTGTCTATGTGCAGACGTCAGGTCCTATAGACAGTGTGTTTGTGTCTAAGTTGTCCATTACTTTATTACAAATAAAGCCTACTGCAGTGTACTGTATACTTCCCCCATAAAAATGCTTGCCTATGTACTGTAAAAGAATCAACCATGCTTTTCCCTGAGGTCCCAAAAGCTTGCTTGTGGAGTTCAGGGGCATGTCAAAAATGTCCCGTATATATTATGTACATTTTTAGACATTTGAAGGCCAACAAATGATATATCAATAGCTTTAAAACCATGTCAGTGCAGTGGTCAGTAGCATAATAATCTCCTTCTCTCTTTCTTTTTCTCTCAGTCTCCTTATATTGCCCTGTATCCCGTCCCTTCCCAAAGCTGAACTTTGATTGACACATTTTTTCTTTGCAAGTGAAGAAAGTAAACATCGGATCTGATATTTATAACTGACATTAAAGGGATAGTTCACTCTGAAATTAATTTTTGATATGTTTTAGCTTACCTCAAGGGCAGCCAAGATGTAGGTGTCTTTGTTTCCACAGTATTTTGATATTTTTAGGTCAAACCGTTGTTGTCTATCAGTCATACACTGGAGGTATATGGGGTCCACCTCAAAAAGCATGCACAGAGAAGTCAAAATTAAACATGATTGAATGACTCGTGAATGTAAGTACACATTGATGGCCTAAGACACGAAACGAGCGGTTTGTGTGAGAAAACGAACAGTATTTATATTGTTTTTACCTGTGTAATCACAGTGATGTCAAACTGATGCGCTTCGGTCTGCACATGCACCGGAAGTGATCGCTTGTGATTGTCACTCTTTGTTTATACAGAGATTTCGGAAGTTTTACCTTTCACTAAACATATTTAGATACGGGAAATCGCAATGGAAGATGATTTTGGTGGAAGATTTTCGCAATGGAAGATGATTATATCTAAATATGTTTAGTAAAAGGTAAAACTTACGAAATCTACGTGTAATTATTGAGTGATGTACACACGCAAGCGATCACTTCCGGCGGATCATTGAACATGATTCAGTTCGGTTCAGTTGGACATTGCACAACTGATTCAGATCACGGACGAGACTGTGATTACAAGAGGTAAAAACGATATAAATACTGTTCGTTTTCTCACACAAACCGCTCGTTTCGTGTCTTAGGCCATCAGTGTCAAGTCAAGTCAAGTCACATTTATTTATATAGCGCTTTTCACAATACAGATTGTATCAAAGCAGCTTCACAGTGTGTACTTACATTTACGAGTCATTAAATCATGTTTAATTTGGACTTCTCTGTTAATGCTCTTTGACGTGGACCCCCATACCTGCATTATATGACTGGCAGACAACAACGGTTTGACTGAAAAATGTCAAAATGGAAAATACCGTGGAAACAAAGACACCTACATCTTGGATCCCCTTGAGGTAAGCTAAAACAGTGGTTCCCAACCTTTTTTGGGTACTGTACCCCCAAAACATTTTATCCTGCCTGAAGTACCCCCACAAGCGCATGTGATCGGTGTGATTTTTAGATTTGGTGTACATTTTAGGTGATACCTGAATTTACCTGTAAATAATGATATTTTTACTTCTTATAACTCTTATAATATAATACTTGTCTTTGTTCAATATTTGTGACCTTTTCACTTCTTCACATGTTCAGACCAATTATACAAAAACAAAGATTAATAATAATAATAATATTTCTTTTTTTATTTACAAACTTTAAATACAAAAATAAACCAATAAAATTAATAATCAAGTTCAAAAATAATCCTTCTAATGCAATCCTAAAATAAAAATTTTAAGAAAAGTTTGAGAAATGTTTTGAGTCACTAATGTATTTGAATTCCATACTGTAGCATAGGAACAAAACAGACAAGCACATTTGGCGGGAAGGACAGGGTAACCATATTATAACATGATTATAATTTTATATAATATATATTTTTATATTATATAATTATATTATATAATGTTTTGAGAATAGTCTGTGGTTAAAAAAAATGTTATAGTCTTTTGAGAATCATCCCACGTACCCCCTGGGGACTGCTCACGTACCCCTAGGGGTACACGTACCCCTGGTTGGGAAACACTGAGCTAAAACATATTAAAAATTAATTTCAAAGTGAACTATCCCGTTAATAATATTTTCTTAGATAAGTGAATTTACTGAAGGGTACCAGGAAAACTAGGTAAATAAGTTTAGTCACAACATGTGCACATTCATTATTAATCTTATGCCTAAGAATATGATGAAACCACTTTGTTAATGTTTCTTGTCTCGTCACGTTGACAGTTACTAATTGCATGAATCACGTAAATTATGTTTTCAATTTAAATTGACAAAATTGGACAAAAATTCGCTGAAAAACAGCTGTCAAATAGTAAATGTTTAGTTACTTGCACCTTATCTCTCACACTTGATGACATTAACTGAAGTGTCGCTCTACACTTTGATTTGATTGGTCATCTCAAACCTTTTGATATTGATTAGAAATGGAAATTGAATACTGGGAGCATTGCACTGACGGATTAAGAGAGTTGAAAATGAATTGCATTTACAATAAACAAATCATTTATAAATAAAATTCAATTAAAAAAAGTTAATTTCATTACAAGAAAAACAGCATCGGGGCCCTGTAAATGGGACTTTTTCAGTGGGCTAATATGAAAAATCTAAATTAAATAAGCAAAGATCTACAAGATAAGATATGATATGGAGTAACTGTCCTACTTTGTCCAGGTCAGCACCTCAGTTTTGACCAAAATGTCAAACAGAACAACTTCAGTCAGTTGTCTATTGGAATATCAATTTTATAGTCCTTTAGCCAGTGAAGCATACCGTGGCTCTTATCTAACTCCTGTGTGTTTTTCAGTAATGATGATACTTCATAACAGCAGAGAAGGTAAGAGCAGAATTGTGTCCCTCAAACATTCGTTTCCTGTCTGATTCACAAGATCATTTGTTCTAATGCCTGATTCATCATGAGCACCACTTCAAAGTCTGGGCCTGGAAGCGGACATATTGATTTAGAAACGGCCACACACATTGTATTACATATACTCCTGAGTCCTGAGAGAAAGCGCATGTTTCTCGTCAGTAGAACAACATGAGGACCTCTCTGGAGTTATTTGAAGTCTAATTTTCACCATAAGGGAGACTAAGACCTGAAATGTCCTCTACACAAGAATGATAAAAGTGCAAACGCTACCTCCTCAAGCTTAGGTCTAAAATATATGTGCAGATGCATAATGACTCTCAGTGTTGGAGCAAGAGCTTTTAAAGTTAGCTATATAGTAAACTAATATACTGTAAATCAGATAGATCAGGAATAAAAAGAAATCCCACTAGGAAATGTTTTTCGGCAAAACACATTGGAATTATTGGCAGCCCTAGAATTTATTTATTGGGGAGTAAAATATCTCTGAAGTGTGTTCTCAGTAATATTTACCTCAGCTAGGAACATTAAATTGTCTAACCATGACTTCTTGTTTCACAGGAGTTTAAATACGAGGAAACACAAAGGCCAAATTTCCTTAATCATCCATCACAATGAGTACAACCAAAGAATATAGTTCTGATGTGCAGCAAAAGATTGTTGAGCATCACAAAATAGAAAGTGTCTGTAAGAAAATAGCTAATAAAATAAAATTAAAAATCCATTTCCACCATCAGGGCAAAAATTAAGAAGTTCCAATCAACTAAAGATGTCACGAATCTGCCAGGAAGAGGACATGTGTCTATATTGTCTTAATGTACGGTGAGGACGGAGGAAAGATTGAGTGGTCAAAGACTCTCCAAGGATCACAGATGGAGAATTGCAGAGATTAATTGAGTCTTGGGGTCAGAAGCTTACCAAAATTATTATTATTATTTTTTTTTTTAATCAAACAACCCCTGCACCACATGTTGTTTGAAGAAAAATCCGCCTCGCTCCTCTAAAAACAAACTCCAGCATATTCAGTTGTCAGACACGACTGGAACTTCAAACGGGACAGGCTTCAGTGGTCAGATGAAACTAAAAAAAAAAGCTTTTCTGGCAGCAAACACACTATGGGTTTGGTGAACACAAGGATAAGAAGTATCGCACGTGTATAATTTAATATATCGTTGGATCTTTAATATTGTGGGACGTCTTGTTCAGATACACGGTATCCTGGATTCTGTCAGATATCTACAGATAAAAAATCGAAACCTTACGGCGTCTTCTAGAAATCGTATAATGGGCTGTGGTTGGATCTTCTATCTTGCATTATTCATTTATGTATTTGTTTACAGTATGAATGATCCAATGAATTACTAACAAAAAGCCAAATGTAAAATACAATAATCATGTTATTATTTTCTCTTTTTAGTCAGAAATAGGCTATTACAAATAAATAAAACATTTAAAAGAAGTTGTTAAAAGAAGTATTTTATGCTTATCAAGACTAAATTTATTTGATAAAAAAATGAAAAGACAGATTTTGATTAAAACATTATTAAAATTTATATCAAAATTTCGGTTTTCTATTTGAATATTTTAAATTGCAATTCATTCCTGTGATGAAAAGCTGAATTTTCATCATCATTTCTCTAGTCTTCAGTGTCACATGATCCTTCAGAAATCATTTGAATTGATTTGCTGCTCAAGAAACATTTCTCATAACATTCCTGGAAACATTTGCTGCTATTCAGATCTCAAAGTGATTGAGTTCTTTCTAATCAAATCCTGCTATTTCGTCCTCTGCTTTCAGAAGGCGCTCTGGAAAATGACCGTGATGAGTGCTGCTTTGTGACTGTAGATGTAGCGGCTCATCTGTGTGAAGTTTCTCCTTACTGATAGATGAGCGGATCCACACAGAGCTGCTGAACTGCACACATGTCTTTGTCAAACTCCCCCTTCTGGTGTCTGTGAGTACTGCATCCTTCACTAACACCTAACAGCAAAAAAAAATCCTGCTATGCTAAGGCCTGCTGTTAGCGACGTGTCATTTCTGTATTTCGAACCCAAATGTAATTTGTGTCTATGAGGCATGCATTGGGGTAACACATTTTGCAGTTGTTAAATTGAGAAAGCAAAAGATGTCTCTTCCACATCAGCCAGAGGTTTCTTTGGATTTGATTGGTTGTGTGGGAGCCAGTTACTTACTTTGTGATCAGATAGCAGAGCTCTGGAGGAATGACCCACAACTTGAGAACAGGGCTTGCATTCAGAGAGAGTTCTTCCTCGATGCAGCGGCTTCTGCGCTGAGAGAGAGAGAGAGAGAGAGAGAGAGAGAGAGAGAGAGAGTTACTGCTGTTACTGCCGCTGCCTCGGGTCTGGCCGTCTTCCAAAGAGAAATCAATGCAGCCTGGAGTCAATGGAACTTCAAATCTGATTCCTGTTCTTCTCTACCATCTCAAGAATAGCCTAGGCATTGGAATCGTATGCAATGTAACAATTCTGGTTCCAATCCCGACACCTTTAATGACAGCATTAATGATATAGAACTTATCTAAGACGGTGAATGCTAAACAAAACAATAGGCCTAGTTTGACTTACATATTTTTATGTTTTTGTTTAGTCGAAGTCGCAAGTCTAAAGCCTTGAGTGAGATTATTTTGAGTTTGTGATGACAAAAGTAACACTTTGCATTTGAAATAAGCTTTAAATTGAACTAAAACTGCTACAAATGGAGATGTGGACATTACATTTCTTATTTTAATTTGTTTACTTAACAGTCGATTTTATTTCAAAACCAGGATTCCCACAGTCTTTAAAAACCATAGGGAAGTCATTGAAGTTTCTGGTAACACTTTACTTGAAAGGGTGTGCATGAGACTAACATAACACCTTCATAATCATGACATGACATGAATATGAAGGAAGTTTTATGCATGTTTGTGACAACTGTTATTAAGTGTCATTCGCTCAGTTATGACATTTTTAATGCAAATATGACATTGTTTGAGGTGTCTTTGACACCTTGACATAAACCAATACATCATAACCTGTCAGTGTGTTTATCATGACAACTTGACATTACTAAGAAAACCTGTCATAAACATGACATAGCTGATTAATTATCAAACTTAAGAAACCACCTAGCTTTATTGGTTAACATTATATATTAAACTGTCAGGTGGTTGGTTTTGACATTGGCTTTAATGACAAATTTAATTAGTACCACTGTAGTGGAGGGGACACGAAAAATATTCAGTTATAATGGCCTCATGACAACCAATGTCAAAGCCAATCACATGATAATTTTATGTCAAGTTTTTCATGACAAAGACACTGACAGGTTATGATGTAACAAAGACATCTTAAACAATGTCATATTTGCATTCAAAATGTCATTATTGAGCGAAAGTCACCTAATGACAGTCATAAACATGCATAAACCTAACTTCATATTCAAGACACATGTCATGGTTATGAAGGTGGCATGTCAGTCTTATGAACACCCCTTCAAGTAAAGTGTTACCAAGTTTCGAAAGCACTAAAATATTTTTTGCGAGTAAAAAACCATCTTCATGTAAATTCATTGGTCATAAAGAGTGTGATCTTGTCATACTTTTCAAAATTTTTAAAGAAATATATATTTATTTAAGATTTTTCATATATTCCCACACTAACAGCTTTGTCATTACTGCAGAAATATCAAAATAACTTGGAAAATGGTGGGCCTTAAAGAACCACTTCAGAGTCTGGACTGATTTCGAAGTATTTTACCTGATTCATTAAAAGAACTGACTCATGAGAGTCATTAGTCAGAGAATCAGGCTTGTTGTAGACGTCCAAAGACCATTAACGGTGTCACACTTTCCGCCCACTTTTTTCCTTTTTCTAAAGAGCATTAAATGGGCATCTGTTTAGTGTAGAATAAGTAATCAGCACAGTGTTTTTGGTCCATTTCCCCAAAGAAAATGTGCTAAAAATTCTCAACTTGCGTGAGTACATTAGATTATAGAATTGGCCACAAAGCTAAAAGTTAAAAAGCAAAAAAAAAGGGGTGGGACCTCAAATCTCAGTTCCCAATACACTGCCTAAAAAGAGGTTTTCAAAAACAAAACTTCTTGTGTAAGCACACTATTTTGTTACTCCTCAACTGAATCCAGCTGCTGTTAAACTGCAGTGTATCTGGGCTGAGAGAGAGAGAGAGAGAGGGAAATATGCTGAGGAAGAATGAAACGGGTTAATGTGTGCGGTTGACCCAATTCCATGCTGAATGAAAAAAAAGAGCATATACAACATGTTATTTATTTATACACTTGCTTGATTAATGGAAACGAGCGAGAAGAGCATGCCTTACAGCGAATCAGCCTCTTCACAGAAAGGCAAACCCGCCTCTAGGCTGTGGTTACAAATAAGTAGTCTCTCTTTAAAAAGTAGTCTGGGAAACGCTGCTGCTGAGATCCCACTTGATTTGTATATTATGCTCTGAAGGAAAATTGACACTCCCAAACAAAGCTAGCAGGATGAGCGATGAACTTTGCCCTACTGACTCGCATTACCGTTTCCGTGCCTATGTGGCAGGCTCCACTATGAATTGATTGTGCAATGCAAAGCAACTGTGCATTACTTTTGATTACATTTAACAAGGTAAAAACTACAAATGTACCCCTTTAATCTCAACATTTTAGCAAGAGGTCTATCTAATGCTGTGTTTGTGAGTGAATGATTCAAGGCCCGTTTGTCGCCTACAGCCTCACCGTGAGTGATGATGATTGTTGCATGGCTTCCTTCTTCCTGCTTTATTTTAAAGTGATTCATCAGGGCTAGCAGTGGGCCTGTTTTCTTTGTTTTTGTGAGGCAGACCTGTCTTAAACCCCTTGTTTCTTGTTGTTAAGGGTCGAGTGGATGCCTTTTGTCAACGATCCCATCCTGGGCGCTGAAAGTTGGCACGGTGAGCATCTTTACCCGATTTCCTCCCTGCTAAAGCTGCACAGCTTCTATTTGCTCATTAGTAGCGTAATTAACCAGTGCACCGCTGGGCACGGACACCGGACCTCCCCATTCCTCATTTCTGTCTACCAGGCCCCAATTAAGTGGCCACAATGCTTGATATTCTTGATGCTGCTCTGTTTGTTGTTAGGATGACAAAATGTTTTAAAAGTGAACATTTTAACCTGGTTTTCCTCAGTCTTTTACAACTACATGGCATATATATTCACAATACATGTTGTTTCAAAACAGCTATACAATGAATCATGATGGTAATGCTCATAATATTTGAATATCTTCATGCCATATAGTTGGATTTAGCGGATTAGAGCTAGGCGATAACATATGTAACATTTTTCAACAATAGAATCAATCAAGCAGTTGAGAATATATCACCCTATGCGATTACTGTATGAATGCGGATCAATTGGATGTACTGCATATCCAACTTGATTGAGCTGTGAGATTATTCACTTTTTGCAGCGATATAAACAATCACACAGACAATATTTGCTATGCAGGAAGAAAATAATATATATCCTACTTTTAATATATTACTGGCTGATATTATAGTTTATATTTATTGATATCACAAACAAGCCATGGAGATTTATAGGCTTTATCCTAGGCTAAAGTTAGCTTTTTATTTCTGGCGATTATTTAAATAATGAAAAGTATTTAACTTTTATTGATCACAGAGCTTTTTTTTGCGATAATTCAAAAGCCTGGAAAAATACAAAAAAATTAAAAATAATCATGGCTTAAAATAGCTTGAATGTAACTCTACACCCTTGCATCATAGTATACGCAGTTCTATAAATATGTAAATTTGCCCTGCCTCCACTCACTCACATCAGCTCAGGGATCCACTTGTTGATGATCAGATGTTGACGTGATTGGTTACAAGGTAATTTCAGCCCATTTTCATCCCAAGGCATCATATACTGACGCTTTTGTCAATGCGTATACATCCAACGCACATGGCACCCTTTAGCGTCAATATGACCTACCCACAACCGAAGCGTGTTATATTGACGCTAAAGGGTGCCATGTGCGTTGGATGTATACACATTGTCAAAAGTGTCACTATATGACACACTAGGATGAGAATGCGTTGGTAATTTGTGACGTCGGAAACATCAGCGATTTCAAATCTATTTTTGAGTCTTTTTTTCACTGCAGTTTTAAGGACGAAATAGTCAGCAATGTTGTTGATTTATGAATTTATGAATTTGCACATGGTTTGTCTTGAAGCATGTTAAAAACACACTACATAGACATATAGGTAAGATTAAAAGCTTGATTTTCACCACAGAGGACTTTAAAAAAGTAAGTAACCTGGTTTCTTTTCATTAAACTAAAAAAAAAGTTTATACAATGATGGGGATTGGTTTAATCAACAGCAAAAGAAAAAATGTTGTGATAAATCATTAAAATATTTATATATTTTTTTACAGTGTATTGGGTTTTTGTCGTGGGAACCAGTGTGATGCTAACTTGCGGGTTAGCCAAAATATGTCATCACTCAGTCAAAATTATTAAAATTGAGGCAGGCTTTACTGTTTACAGGATACACTTTTAATGATAAAAGAGTGCATGGTAACAAGCTAAACATTTTTTTTTTTACAGTTTCTAGTACAATAGAAATGTTAAATGACCAACTATAATATCCAGTGACGCAAACTACTCGACCTTTTGCTTGAATTCCACCATTTTGAATAAAAAAATATAGATTTACGTGATTCATGTAATTGAATGTGACACATTAACAAAGCCATTTTCGGCATATTGGGCATTGAATGTGAGCTTATTTCCAAAATAAAATATGATTTGCAAATGTATTCGGCCTACTTAATGAATTCTGTTGTTCTTTCTGATTCTTTGTTCCCTTAAACCCTTTAATTCCTTTATTTAAATGATTTAGATCAATGGTTACGACCTTGCACGTAGGCCACTAATGTGTTTGTTATTGTCACTGAATTTGTTGAACAATGTCATTTCTTTTTACATAAAGAGTGATGCATCCAGACTGCTAAATATTGATGTGATTTATCGTTTATTATTTAAAGCAATAGGCGCGGACTTCCCTGGTTCTGGCTGAGACGCAGAGGGCTGTACAGTATCCGAAGGGTTCTGCGGCGGCGCTTGAGGCGGGAGGGGCGAGCGCAGAGGCAGAATGGATTAGGAGGGCCTGGGTGGGACTGGTGCATTGTGGGGGAGCAGCCCCAGCTGTCCTGCCGCTGTGCTCCGCTCTGCTGCATGCTTCTTCTCCCGGCGTCTGGCAGACAGCCAATGGGAGGAGGCGAATCAGTGGCACTCGAGTTCAGTGTGTCAGTGCGGGTAGCAGTCTGCGAAGGGATGGGCCGATGCAAACACACACACTGCACCACTGCAGCACTGGCCTACTTTACCTTTATGACGTAACGTACCATTTGAACGAATTGCTGGGAGAGCTAACGGGACGGCTTGCGTTCCGCTATTTAGCCATAAGGTTTTACTGCAGTCGTAAGCTCCAAACTGCATATTCAATTACACAACACTGCCATGCTGTGTCTGTGTTCACTGCACTCGCCGGTGCAGACAAAGAGAGCGGGAGAGAGGTGTGGTGTGTCTTGATTATATCACTCGGTTTTAAAGCTCTTGAAAACAATGCATTTGAACATGGATGGAAATGAACATGCAGCCAGAGAAAGCAAAACCGATGATGTCAGAGTTTGTCATCTGTGACCTCTCTTCTCTAATTTCTGCCCACGCTCTCTCGCCGTCTTTGTTCCGTTGTTATTTTGCTTTTCTCCGGCCAGTCGGCAGTGACTGTTGGCTTATTAGCTATCTCATGGCAGTGCTGCACTCAGACAGGTCTGGGTCATGCCAAGCTAAGCCCCTCTTCCTCTCATTAAAGAGCAGCCGGGTAATCGCTGCTAAGCAGCTGGTTAACTCCTAATGCAAAACAGCACATATCGCACGCGTTAAAGTGGCCTCTTTGAGCTGCCAAAGGTGGACATGTGAAAAAACAAGCTGAGGTGACCTATGTATGTCGAATCCACTCTAGACGTTTGCGCTCTGCTTGGTTGTGCTGGTCTAAGAACCTTAAATGAACTGGGTGAAACAGACAACTGGCAAACTTCTAGAATAACCTGAATCATCAAGGTGCTAGTTGAAAGAAAGCAGGTTATATTTTGACTGGCGCGCTTGGGAAATCATACAGCAGGCGTATAAAGCGGCACAGCCAGAGGGATGTTTGATTGCTCAGAGGTTGCTCCTTCATTGCTTAGCTGACTTCATATATATATTTTCTTTCGCAGAATCTACTTTGTGTCAGTTGTTTTTTCCTGAAAAATACTTTTGGAGAAAAGTGCTATGTGGATAGTTTAGCTTAGATAATTTGGTCTTGGAGGAGTTTTGATTGTAGAAATTGGCCAATCAGAGTGGACTTTGAGACATTGTGTAAAAAGTGTAAGATTATTGATGTTTTTTCACCCAAAGAAATAGATCTGAGAGGGAGAACACTTGATTTGCTCTCAATTCATTGCAGTCAAAGTCACAACTTTTTTTTTAGATTCCTGCTGCATGCCGCAACTTTAAACGCTTTTTGATTTTTTAAAGATTTCCCAATATGATAATTAATTATTATTATACTTATTATTATTATTATTACATGATTAATTATTTGATATTAGAACAATTATCAAATGCAAGACAATTATTTAAAACAATTATTGTCCTAACAATAAAGCTTATCCATTCTAGATAGACAATTCATAAATATTGAAAGGATTCAACAATCAGAGCTTTTCTTTAATACGTTTTCCTATTTCTTCGGGTGCAGTAAAATGTGTGAGTTGTCATAAACCGAGTTTAACAGGAAAAAGATGTCCTCATAAAAGTTGTGTCATGACAATGATCTTCCGTCTGTCACTCCATCTGGGCAGCAGAGAGGACATCAATCATACCCACTTTTGAAACAGATCTGGAAAGACATGTGAAATAGTGGTTTTTAAACAGACTCTGTGGCTGAGGCTTTCGACCGCTGGCTCTGTGTATGTGTGTGTAAGGAGGATTGAAGCCAGCACGTACAGAGGCTGCTCCTCAGTCTTTGTTCTCCACAGTCTGTAAGAGCGATTGATCGGAATTGGACATGCAATATGATATCTTTAAGAATGACCAACTTTATCCCATTGTGTGGAGTCCAGTGTTAAGTACATATGAAACGATATGATGATGCATGCAAATACTGAATAGCAGTCAACATGTAAATATATACACTTTTATATCATAGTCCTTTGTCAGTGTTCTAATTCACAATACAATAAAGAGTAAGGTATGCAAATCGCAAATCAGGCTCTCTGAGCTTCTGAAGCTAAAAAGCGTAGAAATAAGCCAAACATGTGGCTTTAACATAATTCCCACCTCCAGATGTTTCTCAATGCAGCTTTTAAGCTCAGATTGTGAGCCTGCTAGTGCTAAACTAAAAAGAATAATAAAAAAAAGGGGTGAATATTAACAAAAAAGGTTTTTCTCACATTCTCAGGTTTGGGGGCAGTTAATATTAGCATACCTATTGTTCCTCAGGAGTGAGGTGACAAAGAAAGTGCTTCTCGTTTCAATGCCCCTCAATTGGTTTGAAATTTTCTTTGTGCAAAAAGAAGCTGATTTCCCTGCCCCCACCCCGTCTTCCCGCTCGGGCCACAAAAGGCGCATTTGCCTGTAGATGCTTTGAGATCCACTGGGAGATCACCAATAAGCACTTCCATCATGCTCTTTAACATGCCGGCCAACGGCAGAGTGCTTGAGAGTATTGTTGATAGCTAACTGGCCATTAACTGCGTCCATGCCAATATTTGAGGATGGGATAAAATATTGATTAGGCATCTACTCGCATGCACTTGTACGTATATTGATATGAAATTGTGAAGAAAATGCATGTTTGTTTGGGTGTTGATTCATTTTAACGTGACAATAATAGATGATTATGAAACTGGTTTTGCATTGATAATGCACTGCATTGTTATTTAAATCCGTTTCACAAATCTCATAAAATGTTCTATTTTTATACATTTATATTTTTCAGCCAAATGTTGCTGACTGAGGTGTATGCATGAGGACATCTAAAGGAAATGAGATGATTTCCTTGAGAGACTGGAAGGAAGGAGACGCTGGTGTCATTTGGAAAGAGACTTTGCGTGTTTTGAATAAATGCATAACATTATATAAATCTGGTGGCTCACTTTATAAGCACGCTGTAACCGAAATGTGAATGAATACTAACATAATTCAGAGAGAGAGAGAGAAAGAGGGGGGGGGGGGGGGGGGGCGTGCAGTAGACAAAGAGAGTGCATGTCTTGGCACGTTGTCCTTCATTTAGGCTTTGGAAACGCACATGTAAAGGTCACTTAGAGAAAAATAAACAACAATGAGTTTAGATTGTTTCGAAGAATGTAAATTAGACACTAAATGAAGCAAATAATATAATCCAAACACAAATTAATACTTGGGGAATGATTAATAATGAAGGTTTTGTTTACATTTATCTGGCTCCCAATAATTTGCAGTGGATTTGGCTTTATTGGCACCTCTCAGCCCGCATATGATCCGTACACACATCATGACAATGGATATGCTTTGAATGTTAGATATATGCTTTGTGAAGTGTCATGAACACTGTCTGAGAGTAAAGATGCTTTTGTTAGTGACCCAGTCGCAACATGGCTGGTCATAAGTTGACAACATGATGGCACCCATCAGCTTCACGTCGAACAAAAGTACATCATTTTAATGATGCTTCTCGAAAGTGCTGTTCACTTCTTTGTGTAAAACTTTATTTTACACACCACCTGTGTCCTAATAATAACAAGAGGATACAAATGATGCAGATTTACTGTTATACTGCCTGAACTGAACATTTTCAGCATTTAAGTGCTGTTATTTGTCTTATTGCGGGAGGGTTTTTTTTCACCTGACTGCAAGTAAAGCAAATCTCTAACCCACAAAGACCTCACAATGCTGATGACAGATCCACAACACCACATAATATAGTCATGTAAACCAACGGCACTTTATTAACGTAGGCTACGTTTTAACCACACTGTTGGGTGAAGTACTATTATAAAAACGAGAAAGTTAAACAATAACTGTAATTCACATAAAATGTGTTATGTTGCTTTTTAATAAGACCACAAAAGAAAAGGGCGGGCCGCGACGAGCCGTGGCTGAACTCGGTCACCCTCCCCTCTCTCTCTTCCATCCAGGATCTGTCCAATCAGCGCGGCGTATGCAAATCACAACCGAGCGCAGCACCGTCTCTGCCCCGTCCGACCGGGGTGACGTCATGCGCACATATTCTCCGGTAGTGCCGCGTCTGGCTGCAGCGAGTCAGACAGCGAACAGAAACGAGCTGCTAGGGAGGGGTGCGCACTCGAAGGGGAATATTGCCACCACCGGCATTCCAGTCTCCGGGAATAACACTTATTCTACACTTCGGAATTGCACTGATTTTTTATTATTTGGACACGAGGAAGAAAAGGACGCGCATTGAATTCGCACCCGTGGAGCTTTTTAAACCAGCCGTTCCCAGCTCAATCCCAGCCTCCTGTAAGTTTTCCCCTCTTTGTTTCCAGACCTATCCAAGATGCCTAGTTCGCTGTTCGCCGACATGGAGCGGAGCGGCAACGGCGGGCAGGGGGACGCCCTGGATGACCAAAGAGCCCTACAGATCGCCCTGGACCAGCTCTCCCTGCTCGGACTGGATAACGATGAAAATTCTCTGTATGACAACGAGCCCAGGAGAAAGAGCGTGAACATGACCGAGTGCGTTCCCGTTCCCAGCTCCGAGCATGTTGCCGAAATTGTCGGCAGGCAAGGTAATCATCATCATCATCATCTCGAATTAAATGTGTGCATGCGGCTATGTAGTATCGCGTTGTGTTATTGTGACATGTGGTCATCTGCATGTATGATAAACAGGGAATGTAGGTTATAGCCTATTTTCAACTGCACTGCCCTCCTGATGTCCGACCAAACAAAAGCAAGGGAGCACTGACACACAACCCAAGCTTAACTACCTTTAATATGTCATCACAACATTCCTGTATATCTAGACTGAAGTGCCATTTTATTGAAGCAGCAGCGGCTCTTTCTTTCTTTGTCTCAGTGGACTTTGTTTACACTCCCTATATAGCCAATTGAGAATAGACTTCCTTAACCAGGAAACATCATTATATAGCCTGGATCTAGGTGACATCATGTTCAATGGGCTATCTGAGTGGTATGAAGGGACAGAGCAAGTTGTTGACAGTATGATTAAAGTGTTGCGTTGGGTCAGACTCTCTGAAAAATCCTGAATTCAGCATGCATTTTTTTCCCCCTGTGCTATTTTTGACCCTGCATGTCAAGTAGACGAGCATGTGGTTTGAATTTATGCCGCACCAAAAAAAACGACAAAATTGTTGTCCCCTAGACTGTGCGCTTGCATCTTTTTGTTTTGTGCCAGAATGTGTGTTTGCCTTGTCTTATTTTTGATTTCTCACAATTGTAGGTTGCAAAATTAAAGCCCTGCGAGCAAAGACCAATACGTATATCAAAACTCCAGTGCGGGGAGAGGAGCCAGTCTTTGTTGTGACAGGCAGGCGAGAGGATGTAGCCATGGCGAGGAGGGAGATCATCTCGGCGGCCGAGCACTTCTCAATGATCCGAGCCTCGCGGAACAAAAACAGCACCCTGAATGGTAACGCCACAGTGCCCGGCCCGCCCAATCTGCCCGGCCAGACCACCATTCAGGTGCGGGTTCCCTATCGGGTGGTGGGTCTGGTGGTGGGACCCAAGGGGGCCACTATCAAGCGCATCCAGCAGCAGACGCACACCTACATCGTCACGCCCAGCCGGGACAAAGAGCCTGTGTTTGAGGTGACGGGCATGCCTGAGAATGTGGACCGGGCCAGGGAAGAGATTGAAGCACACATCGCCATGCGCACCGGCGGCCTCATCGAGTTCACGGACGAGAACGACTTCCACGCCAACGGCACCGACGTGGGTTTCGACCTGCACGGGAACGCCAGCCTGTGGAGCAAGCCCAGCTCTAGCGTCACGCCCACCTCCGGTCGCAAGCCTTTCTCCAACTACCGCAACGACAGCTCCAGCTCTCTGGGGAGTGCCTCCACCGACTCGTACTTTGGCGGCAACAACAGCAGCTCCCGCCTGGCCGATTACAGCCCGCCCAGCCCCGCCCTCAGCTACACTGCCTCCAGCAACGGCAACAACAACAACAACAACATCAACATGAACGCCAACGCCAATGGATTTGTCTACAGCGGCGAGGTGATCTCGCCCGATTGCACTGACATGACCTTCGAGTCGTCGCCGGGATTCGACCCCACTCCTGCGCCGCCGGGCCTGATGTGGTCCCAGTACGAGCGCGCCAACGGCACCTCCGCCTCGCCGCCCACTTATCCCGCCAATGCTTCCACGAATGCCAACGGGCTGCGCCGGGCCAACAACGGGGTGGGATGCACCAGCCAGCCCAGGTTGTCCCCACCCCTGCACCAAGCCAACGGCGCGGCGGAGCACCCCCTGGCGCGCCGGGTGCGCAGTGACCCGGGCGGCGGCACCCTCAGCTTCCCTGGCTACTCCCCGGCCCTCCCCGGACCCCATCACCCCGGCGTGCCCTCCGACTCCTCCATCTCCTCCTCCTCCTCCTCTTCCTCGTCGTCCTCATCCGGGACGAGCCGCAAGGGCAGTCGGGACTGCTCGGTGTGCTTCGAGAGCGAGGTGATCGCGGCCCTGGTGCCCTGCGGCCACAACCTGTTCTGCATGGAGTGTGCCAACCGCATCTGCGAGAGGAACGAGCCCAAATGCCCCGTCTGCCATGCTGCAGTTACTCAGGCTATACGTATATTTTCGTAAACAACGACGACGAGGGCGTTGCTTCGTGAGACGTGTGTTATTGTACATGTATATATACATATGTATGTAGAGCTGCAGTATCCAAAAAAGGGACGGTGTAATTGTTCATAATGTACTGTAGCTCTGCTCGGGACAAATATTTTCAACATCTAATGCATGTTTTAAATATTAAAGCCTAGTAATCAATAGTTTTAGTCAACTGTACACAAGCGTTAATGAAGTAAGGACAGCGAGCAGGTACCGTAGTCAGTTGGCCGACTGTTAGCATAAACGAGCCTTTCGATTCCGCTGATCGAATGTACTGGTAGCAGACCTCGAGGTTGGGGAATCTGAACGGCTTCCTGACAGAGAGACTTACAGCGGTGGAGATACTGCAGCTTACACGATGGAACTCGTTTGAGGGAGAACAGCAACATATCCTACATATATATGTATAGATCAACCAGAAATTCCACAAGTTTTAAATATTCATGATGACATTAATACAGATTGAAGTATTTTATTCTTTTTTGACTTGAAAGATTATATTTCGTATTGCAAAGATGTTTACAGATATTTTAATTTAAGTTCAGTGAACTTTTTTGTAGCTGGGTTCAAATATCTTTTTATTTTTTGGTATGGCCTTACGGCAACGAACACTGTATTATTTTAATATCACTCGAAGTGCGGATGGCGATTCAGACCACGAAATGTGTATTTGCATCGAACAGTATTCTGTTGGGTTGGAGGGTTTCTAGGTTCAGCAAAAAAAAAAAAAAGTCTTTTGAATCTGTTTCACCCAGCATATTTTCTATTCAGTAATATAAAGCATATTTTATTCTATATTATTACGAAATGTCGAAATGTATGAAACTTAGTACGTTCGGAAAAAAAGGAACCGTTTAAGCTTTCTAAAAATTTGTATGAATTAGATTCCAGTGGGTATCACAGAGTTCTGTTCTGTTGCGCCACTATAGGTTTAGGATTTCTATTTTAATACGTTTGTTTACCACTTGTTTATGTATATTATGTAGGTGAAGTTACTTGAGCGTATATGTACTTTATTGAGCAAAGTTTAAAAACAAAGTATATTTTATTTTATGATAAAAGGCCTTTAACCTCATGGTCAAATACTAATATTATATTTGCTGAAACAAGATTTGAAAATGTATCAAGAGTTTTATTTTTCTGACATTTAAAGTTCTACATGACAAAGTAAAACTTAAGTAATGGTGCTACTTCATGTTTTTTTTAAGTATTTCTATATAAGTCCAATAAAATGG